GTAGGAGGGGTCTCCCGCCTGGAGGGGCGAGTCCCCTCTATCCTGGCGGTGGGGGTATAAGAGCCCCCTCTGACACGCAAGAGGTAGGGGGTCTCCCGCCTGGAGGGGCAAATTCCCTCTACCCTGGCTGCAGTGGTATAGGAGCTCCCCTGACACCCAGGAGGGAGGAGGCCCCCTCCTGGAGGGTAGAGTCCCCTCTACCCTGGCTAGAGTGGTATAGGAGCCTGCCCACCCGACACTTGGGGGGGAAGGGGTCTCCCGCCTGGAGGGGTGAATCCTCTCTACACTGGTTGCTGCAGTATAGGAGCTCCCCTGACACCCAGGTGAGGAGTCTCGCGCCTGGAGAGGTGAGTCCCCCCTACCCTGGCTGCTTGGTAAAAGCACTCTCCCATACCCTCAGGTGGAAGAGGTCACCGGCCTGGAAGGGAGAGTCCCTTCTACTCTGGCTAGAGCAGGGTATGAGCCCCCCCCCACCTGACACCTAGGTGGGAGTGATCTTCCACCTGGAGGGGCGAGTCCCTTCTACCCTGGCTGTGGCGGTAAAGGAGCTCCCCCGGACACAAAGGTGGAAGGGGTCTCCTGCCTAGAGGAACTAGTCCCCACTACCCTGGCTGCAGCGGTATAGGAGCTCCCCCCCACCCAGGGGGGAGGGTTCTCCCGCACGGAGAGGCGAGTCCCCTCTACCCTGGCTTCAGTGGGATAAGAGCTTCCCCTGACACCCAGGTGAAAGTGGTCTCCGTCTTGAGGGGAGAGTCCCCTCTACCCTTGCTGCGGAGGTATAAGAGCTCCCCCTGACACCCAGGTGGGATGGATCTCCCGCCTAGAAGGGTGAGTCCCCTATACCCTGGCTGCTGCAGTATAGGAGCTCCTCCCACCAACACCCAGGTGGGAGGGGTCTACCGCCTTGAGGGCAGAGTCCCCTCTCTCCTGGCTGCTGTGGTATAGGAGCTCCCCTTACACCAGGTGGGGGGATTCTTTCGCCTGGAGAGGCGAGTCCCCTCTATCCTGGCTGCAGTGGTAGACAAGCTCTCTCATACATGCAGGTGGGAGGGGTCTCCCACATGGAGGGGCGAGTCCCCTCTACCTTTTCTGCTGGGGTATACAAGCTCCCCTTGACACCCTGCTGGGAGGAGTCTCCTGCCTGGAGGAGCAGGTACCCTCTACCCTAGCTGCAGTGGTATATGAACTCCCCCTGGACAACCTGGTGGGAGGGGTCTCCCACCTAGAGGGTCCAGCCCTCTCTACCCTGGCTAAGGTGGTATACAAGCTCCCCATGACACCCAGGACTGAGGGGTCTCCTGCCTGGAGGGGCGAGTCCCCACTACCCTGGCTGCAGCAGTATAAGAGCTCACCGCCCCCTCCCCACACACCCAGGGGGGAGAGGTCTCCTGCCTAGAGGGGCGAGTCCCCTCTACCCTGGCTGCGACAGTGTAGGAGCTTCCCCAGACACCCAGGTGGGAGGGGTCTCCCACATGGAGGGGCGAGTCCCCTCTCTCCTGGCTAAGGTGGTATACAAGCTCCCCACAAAACCCAGGTGGGAGGGTTCTCCTGCCTGGAAAGACGAATCCCCACTTCCCTGGGTGCAGAGGTATAGGAGCTCCACCCCCACACTCAGGAGGAAGGGGTCTCCTGCCTTGAGGGGCGAGTCCCCTCCACCCTGGCTGCGGGGGTATAAGAGCCCCCTCCAACAACCAGGAGGGAGGGGTCTCCCGCCTGGAGGGACGAGTCCCTGTTACCCTGGCTGCAGCTGTATAGGAGCCCCCCCAACGCACACCCAGGTGGGAGGGGTTTCTTGCCTGGAGGGGTGAGTCCCAGCTACTCTGGCTGCAGGTGTACAGGAGCTCCCCCACAGCCCCCCCCACACAGGGCACCCAGGTGGGAGGGATCTCATGCCTGGAGGGGCGAGTTTCCTCTACAGGGGCTGAGGCAGAATACCAGCTAGCCAGGACACCAAGGTGGGAGGGGTCTCTCCCCTGGAGGAGCCAGTCTGCTCTACCCTGACTGCAGCAATATAAGAGCTCCCCCAGACAACCACATCCCTTTTCATTCACCCAGGCCCAGGTGATAGCACTTGGCTCTCCATTACTGGACCTGGCTCCTTGCTTGAGCCCCTGGCTGCCCTTTTCGAGGACCCTGTCCCTGTCCCTTGGTTTCAGGCCCTTTTACCAGCCCCTTCCTGTGACTCCCCTCTGTTCCCCTTAGCTGTGGTATGCTGGCACTGCCCAGACCCTCTGCTCCCCCTGCTTCATTCTAGCCTGGGCTCCTCAAATGGGTCCTGACTGCCCACCAATCCCACCCCAAACTCTGCACCACAGGCATCCCCTCACAGTGCCTGCTTTTGCCCCTCCTTTAGTCCAGGACCCTCTCTGAGGATCTACACACCTAGGGAAGAGGAGCTGAATTAGCTGGCCTGTGCACCCTGATTGCTCCCAGTGGGAAACAGCCCTGCCACTCGCCTGTGTCCCCTTTGCCGCCTGAACCTTGATGCCTGGCAGTTAACATGTGACTTGCTCCAACCCAGCCCTGAGATATCCCCTCCCTTCCCTCCAGTGCCCTCTCACCTTGCATGCTGCCCCTACCCCAACCCAGCCTTCCCTAACCCTGGTCCTTTGCGCTCCAGTCCCAGGGACTGACTGCTCACTTGAGCCCCTGACACTGTTTCTCGTGTCCTTTAGTGTAGCATGGAGTCTCTTTGTGTTGGGTCTGTCCTGGGAGCCTCTTGCTTGTGCCCACCAGCAGCTCCCCTATGTGCCCCTTGCACTTTACTCTGTCTTCTGGTCCTCATGCAACCCTTCCTCACCTTCCCCTCTCAAATTCCACTGGAGTTTGTGGGTCTCCTTCTCCTTGGGTCTCTCATCCATGGTTGTTTCCTGGGCTCCTGGCTTGGGACCTGGGTCTTTCCCCTCTGAGCACCCACTGTGACCCCCCGCCGTGCCTCCCGTAGCCCCCCCTCTTTTCCCCCTTCCTTTGCCAGGCCTCCTTTGCCAGGTCCCTGGCCCTGGATTCTAATCTGGGCCAGAGCACCTTATGAGAAACAGAGTTCCGCCCCTCACCTGGGCTCCTTGCTCTCCCTGGGTGCTTGGTCCTGCATCTGGAACCCTGACACCTGTCAGTGGCCTTGGGCCTGTACCTGCCTGCCCCAGTTGGATCCCCTGCCTTCCCAACCAAGTCTTGTCCACTGTCCTGAGCCTCCTTCCCCAGCCCCAGCCATTGTCTCTCTATTCCCTGTCCTGGCTCCTTGCTTGAGCCTCTGGTGGCTCTTGTTGCTGAGAGCATGCCTGGGCATTGACTGTGGGCCCTTCTTGGGCTGCTTCCCAACTCCCCTTGGTGTTCCTGCACTGCAGTCCACTAGTACCACCTGCCTTCCCATCCCTGCCCTTCCCTGTTCTCCCCTGGTGTGGGCCCTCCACTAGGTCCCTAACCTGGGCTCCTTGCTGGGGTCCAGGCCCTACCCCACCAATACCTGTCCTCCGACCCTTCTCATTGTGCCCTATTTGGCCTTCCTTTTGTTCCTGTCCCCATGAAACCCCCTTTACTGATACCTTTCCCAGGATTCACCCCAGGCCAGGGGAGTGGACCTGGCCTCTTGGTCCTCCTGGCTCCTTAGGGGAAAAAGTAGCCCTGCCCCTTGCCTGGGCCCTTTGGCCTCCTTCAGCACGGGTCCTGCTCCCCAACCCCGACACCTAGTCGTAGACCTGGGCCTTGAGCCTTCCTCCCTATGTGCACCAGCTCCTCTCTCTCCTCTCCCTAACTTCCCAGCCCTGCTCTGGTCCAGGTGCCTCCCTGACAATCTACTTACCTGGGGCCTAGGAGTGGATTGGCTGGCCTCTGTGCCCTAAAGGCTTCTATGGGAAACAGAGCCCTGCCCCTCGCCTGGGCCCCTTGCTCTCCCTGGGTGCTTGGTTCTGCACCAGGTGACCCTGGGCCTGGAGCCTGCCTGCACACTGCTGGATCCCCAGCCTTTCCTCCCAAGTCTTGTCCACTGTCCTGAGCCCCCTGCCCAAGCCCTGGCCCTTGGCTCTCTGTTCCCTGACCTGGCTCCTCACTTGAGATTCTGGTGGTCCTTCTTGATCCTTGTTTTCTGGGCATTGTCTGAGGGCCCCTCACCGGGGCCGCTTCCCTGCTCCCATTGACTTCCCTGTACTGCAGTACCCTAGTGCAGCCCCGCCTTACCAGCCCTGCCCTACCCTGCTCTCCCCTGGCCTATGACCTCCTCTAGGTCTCTTGCCTGGGCCCCTTACTGTGGTCCTGGCCCCACCCCACCCACACCTGTCCTGCGGCCCTTCAGGCTCTACCCTCCTTTGGACCTCCTGTAGTTTCTGTGTCTGCTAGGCCTGCTTTCCTGATCCCCTTCCCAGGATGCTCACCCTGGCCAGAGTACCTGACCTGGCCTCTTGGCCCTGCAGGCCCCCAATTTGGGAAAACGTAGCCCAGCCTCTGGCCTCTGACCTTTGGCTTCCCTCAGCCCGGGCCCTGTTCCTGAACCATGACACCCTGCAGTGGACCTGGGCCTTGGGCGTTCCTCCCACTGCGCCACCTGCTCCACTTTCTCTCCTCCCTCCCCTCCCCATCCATGTCCCTTTACATTTACCCAGGACCAGGTACTAGCACTGGGCTCTCCATTACTGGCCCAGGCTCCTTTCTTGAGCCCCTTGCTGCTCTTCTTGAGGACCTTTTCTCTTCCGTTGGTTTCAGGCCTTTGTAAAAGGCCCCATCCTGTGCCTACCCTCTGTTCCACTGGCACTGTGGTATCCTGGCACTGCTGGGACCCTTCACTTTCCCTGCTTCTCCCTAGCCTGGGCTCCTCAAATGAGAGTGACATGAGGAACACTGTCAGGGGCTCAGGTGAGTGCCCAGGTCCCCTTGCTTAGGACTGCCAGTGGGCTGCCCTAGTTGCCCCTTGTGCTTTTCTCTGTCTCCTGGTCCTCACACAGCCCTTCGTCCCCTTCCCCTTGTGCTATAGTCTGGCTGGGCAAAATAACCGAGAGGTAACAAGCAACTTAAAGGTTGAAATGGGAACTACTTTATTGAGAGTGAACTCAGCGGGAACTGAGCGAGAACTCAAAGTAGCGGGCACCCAAGGTAGCAGGAGCCGCTTCCCTGCTGGACAGCAGAGGTATATATGCTTAATTAATTACACACAGTTTAACTTAATTAACATCATCTAGATACAGCAGTCAGCCAATAAGGAATCCTCATCATCTTAATGGCTCGCAGGCATTGCTTCACAAATCACTCCTCCTGGCAAAGTGCCAGGCACCATCTTGACTTGATTTGCATCCCCAACATCTCCTCCCTTTTGTTTTATTAAACAACAAGTGTGTGGCTTAGGGACTGTGCCTGTTTTAGGTTGTCCAATACTACATATGGTTCTTACCCGTCATTGGATGGTCTGACTTCAAATCGTCAGCCTTCTGTCTTAGGTTGGTACCATTGTAATTGGATCTTACCCATCTTTGACTACCGGCCCAACACACTTAGCCATACTTGTGGATAACGACCATAGTGGTTTTTACACAAACACCATAAACAACCTGCTACAAGCAGAAGGAGGAGGATATAAAATGCCACGATATCAAGCATTTGACAGCTCCAAGTAAGAAGCCCTTGGAAAAATTGTACCACCGATGACACTGTCAGCAAAGATACCCTGACACTTCTATAATTTGTTGTATCAGTTCATAATGCATATAAGTGATACACAGTCCAGGTAAGTTCCACAAGCCACTTAAAGCAAAGGAATCCATTAATATGTCTATTTCTTCTTGAAGTAAATATTGATGCAACAGTTTGTACAGTTTGTGTGATAGCTGTCGCAGAAGCTGTAGGAGTAGCAGCAGAAACAGCAACAGCTGTGATGATGGTAGCTGTAATTCCGAACTCTCATTTGGTTTTTCAGTAATACTGGAAATTCTTCTATTTTTGTCTTAAGGTAGGAATTCTGGCAATAATGGCTAAAGAAAATTGTGTAGCATTCCAGCAGGCACTAAGAAAACAATTTTCTGAACAATTTAGTACATTGTTCTGAACAGAATTATTAGATATAATGAAAAGGAAAGGTAAAAGTAAACAAACAGATCTGTTAACCTCATTTTTTTGTTCACATATTAAAACAATACCCAATTTAAATTAAACTGTTTAAATCACGTGAATAAAAGATATTTGGATCCAATTTTTTCATGAGTGCTCCTGATATATGGACATATGCACATATAGACATACAACACATAACACAAGTGTGCACACATAACACAATAGTAATAAAGGCCTTGTAGCTTTTCACAGGTGAAATGTCCATTGCAATGTTTAAAAACTCCACAGTTGATTAAAAAAAATAAAACTGATCAGAAAAACATTAACCTAGGTCTGTATGAGCTCAAAAAATAAAATAGAAAAAAAACATCCTGGCTACCACCTGGTTTTGACTCTTCTTTTGACATCCATCCTTGTTCCTGTAACTTGCATATGGGTTTGAAGGTATTCCCACAAGTAAGCCTCAAGGTTTTTTACATTTGAAATAGGCCTTAATGGTGTTCATTGTTCATTAGCCTCCAGGTGTAGGAGAACCATTATCACAGATGTAAGGATGGCTAAACTGGAGTTCTGGATATCAGCTGTTATGGATTTGAGCCAAATCATCTTCTTTTTGGTCTGTAGAAATCACTTTAGTTAGTCTCTCTGGAATCCAAATCAGCTGCTGTTCTCCCTGTGGAAACACACAAACAGACCTCCGACTCCAGACAATCACTGGGTCAGGACCTTTCCATTGTCCAGTTAGAATATCCTTCCAAAGTACCTTTGGCTTATGTACATGTTTTGGACACATGTGCCTTTCCGCAGCACTAAGTCCTGTTGAATCCAAATTTAAAAAGTTTAGCATAAAAAGGGTTATTTTAAGTTTATCTTTGGGGGATTTATATCCCTTCCCAGTTCCCTCTTTTTGTTTTAGTAAGTACATTTTAATAGTTTGATGAGCTCTTTCAACTATTCCTTTTCCCTGTGGATTATACGGGATTCCTATTATGTGAGTAGTGCCAAACGATGAGCAAAATTGCTTGAAAGAAGCAGAAGTATAGCCAGGGCCATTATCTGTTTTTAACTGTTTTGGAATGCCCGCAGTGGCAAAATTTTGTAAACAATGAGATATAATATCTTTAGTTTTTTTTCTCTGGTATGAAGGGAGCCCATTAAATATTCAGAAGAAGTATCAACTGTAACATGTAGATATTTTAATTTTCCAAATTCTGGCATGTGTGTGATGTCCATTTGCCCTATATGATTAGGTATCAGTCCTCTAGGATCGAGTCCAAGATTAACTTGTGGTAAAAAGGTCACACAATTTTGACATTGTTTTATTATATGTCTAGCTTGTTCCTTAGTTATTTTAAAATGCTTTTGCAAGGTATTAGCATTGACATGGAAGGATTTGTGAAAATTTGTAGCTTCTTCTAATATAGAAAAAATATGTATGTCATGTGTGGTTTTATCTGCTAAATTGTTGCCCAAACTAAGGGCTCCAGGCAATCCTGTATGTGCCCTGATATGAATGGATCTTTTCTGTCCCAGATTAAACTTTTTATAGCAGAAAACAAAGAGAAAACTGTAGAGGAAGGGGAAATCCTACCAGCATCTTCAAGGGAATTTATAGCATTAACTATATACAAACTATCAGAAAATAAATTAAATACGGAATCTTTAAACATCACAAAAACTTGTAATACTGCATTAAGCTCTACCTTTTGAGCTGATTGTTCAGGTACTAAAAATGTAAAAGCTTGATCAGGGGTAATTACTGCTGCTGTACCATTATTTGACCCATCAGTGAATATATTTGGAGCATTCATGATAGGTGTTTTTCTTGTCATTTTTGGAAAAACTACAGGATGCGAGGACCAAAAAGACAACAAAGGATTAGATGGTAAGTGGTTATCAAATGAACAAATAGATTTGCACATAATTATTGCCCAAGTATTTAACTCATTAGCTAACTCGTTAATTTGATCCATAGTATATGGAGTGATAATTTTGTTAGAAGAAATTCCAAATACTCCCTTTGTTGCTTTTATTCCTTTGAGTATTAATTGTCCTACAGCCTCAGGATAGCTAGTAAGAATAGTGTTAGGTGAATAAGATAAATCCATCCATAATAATGGACCTTCTTGCCAAAATACTCCTGTAGGAATATTTTTTGTTGGTAGTACAATAAATAATAAAGGCAAACTTATATCAATTCTATCCAAATGCATATTCTCCATATATGTTTCAATGAGTTTTAATGTCTTTCTTGCTTCAGGCATTAACATGTGGGGTGAATTTGGATCCAATGGACCTTTTAGGATATCAAATAAAGGTCCCAACTCTCCTGTTGGTATGCCTAGATAAGGCCTTATCCAATTTATGTCTCCTAACAACTTTTGAAAGTCGTTAAGTGATTTAAGTTGATCTACTCGTATTTGAATTTTTGGTGGATGGATCATGGTCGAGGATAATAGAAGTCCTAAATAATTAATCGGAAAATTTAATTGTACTTTATCTATTGCTATCTCTAGATTATAAGGTTTTAATAAGTTTGTAAGTGTGGCATAACATTCTAGCAGCATGTTTTTAATCTTTGTGTGCTAATAATACATCGTCCATATAGTGAAATATTTGTAGTTCAGGATTTTGATTTCTAAGTGGCTGGATTGCTTTGTTAACATAAATTTGACACATAGTTGGGCTGTTAGCCATCCCTTGAGGGAGTACTTTCCATTCATATCTCTGATCAGGACCTTCATGATTCAGTGCAGGGACAGTAGATGCAAAACGTGGACTATCCTCAGGATGAGTTGGAATTGAAAAAAAAACAATCTTTAATATCTATAACTAAAACATACCAGGTTTTTGTCAAAGCAGACAATTGAGGAATCCCCAATTGAGCAGGTCCCATGATAACCATCTCATTATTAATAGCTCTTAAATCTTGCAATAATCTCCATTTACCAGATTTCTTTTTGATGACAAAAATGGGAGTATTATGGGGAGATACAGAAGGTTGTATATGTCCCTCCACTAATTGTTGTTTGACCAGGTCATGGGCTGCTTGTATCTTTTCTTTAGTCAGGGGCCACTGAGGAACCCATACTGGCCTTTCTGATTTCCAAGTAATTTTTATTGTCTCAGTGACCCCCTCCTGAAAACCCAATCCATGTCTATCTGTTTTTTGATCTATTTGTATTAGTGCCACTATACCTTGTCCTTGTTCTCCTAATCCTTTTTCTTTCCTAAAGCCTTATCTAGCCATAATAGTGGGTGCATTTGAATTGATGTTATTTGTTAATGTCAATCCTAATTGATCTAGAACATCTCATCCCCATAAATTTATAGGAAGATGATCCAATACATATGGCTGTATAGTTCCTTCACATCCTTCAGGATCCTTCCAATCTAATACCATCGCACTTCTATGGGGATTAGTCACCACTCCTAGGCCTTGAAGCGTTTGAGTGGCTTGTTGTAATGGCCAATTTTTTGGCCATTCTTGACGAGAGATGATGCTAAGGTCTGCACCTGTATCCAGTAGCCCATTAAATTCATGCCCTTGAATATTTAATTTTAGCATGGGCCAAGAACCTAAATTTAAAGAAAGCATAGCCCAATCTATACCTGTGGAGCCTAATCCCCTGGAACCTCTTTCTACAGTACGACTGGAAAATTTATCATGTAGGCTGGGTATTATTAATAACTGTGCTATTCTATCTCCTGGTGAAATTACTGATATACCCCTTGGAGAACTGGCTATAATTTTTATTTCACCTTCAAAATCAGGATCAATTACCCCAGGACTTATCATAAGTCCTTTTAGAGTAGAAGAACTGCGTCATAATAATAAGCCTACTGTTCCTTGGGGAAGAGATTCTTTTACCCCTGTGGGAATGATTTGAACTCCCATCTCTGGAGTTAGTACTGCTCTGGCAGAGGTGCAGATGTCCAACCCTGCGCTCCCTCTGGTTTGTCTAATGAGGGATCTAATGTATAATGTGTCCTGGGCACTACCCTGATGGTGTTGCTGGGTTCCTCCAATGCCACGTATATTTGTGGTCGTGGGCCCTGGAGCATTGGGCCCCCCTGTCCGTTTTTTGGCGATGGAGTCCAATGTTTTCCTCCATGATATTGTGGGTAAACACCTGGTCCTTGTCCGTTTCTTGACAATGGAGCACCCTCTACAGTAGTCTGAAACAGCACTCATAAGCCCAATGTCTCCCTCTATGGCATCATGGGCAAATACCTAGTATTCTACCCATTTGATACCCAGTTTTGTTAAACCCTCCTCCTATGGGGCAACTCCTTTTAAAATGTCCTGTTTGTCCACAATTGTAGCATGCTTTTGGCCTGGCACCTAAAGCCTGTTGTACTGCATCTGCCAAGACTTGCCCCTGTTCATTAATGTCTCTGCATAATTTAATATATGTGTTTAAATCTCTATGTTTCCATGGTCTAATGGCCTCCCTACACCATTTATTGGCTTGTTTGTAGGCTAGCTGTTTCACCAATGGCATCACTTGTTCTGCATCCCTAAAGACTCTGGTAGCTGTTTGTATAAGCCTATCTACAAATTCAGTGTAAGGTTCATTAGTTCCTTGTATTACCTTAGTAATTGACCTTGTAAATCTCCATGTCCTTGTAAAGTTTTCCATGCCTTAACTGCAGCTGAAGCGATTTGTGAATATATGGCCAGATCATATTGAATTTGTTGCTGCTGACCCTCATAAGGTCCCTCTCCTAGCAACATCTCTAGATTTCTCTGAGAATAACCAGCTGCTGCATTTCGCTTAGCCGTCTCCATACAAAATTCCTGATTGGCAACCTTCCACAACAAAAATTGTCCTCCATTTAGCACAGCTTTGCACATGCTAGCCCAATCTGCTGGTGTCATGTTCAAGTTGGTAATGGATTCGACCATACTTACAGTGAAAGGGGCTTGAGGACCATAGGTTGTTACAGCCTCTTTCAGCTGCTTCACTGTTTTGAAATCTAAAGTATGGTGAATTCGCTGCCCTCCTGCCTCCTCAAATACAGGGCATGCTAATCTTTGAGGTCCTGTCTCAGGATCCCATCTATCAACTATGGGGGTTGGGGGCCACCCAGCATATGTTGTCTCCATATGTGGAGCTGTTGGGTGAATACTTATGCCCTATGGTGATAGAAAGGGGTTAGTAGCAACCTCCCGTTGTAACTTTTCCCCTGATAGCCCTTTCTCCTCTAAACTTTCTTCCCTTTTTTGACTAACTTGAGAGATTTCCTCTTTTACTTGAGCGAGAACTCAAAGTAGCGGGCACCCAAGGTAGTAGGAGCCGCTTCTCTGCCAGACAGCAGAGGTATATATGCTTAACTAATTACACACAGCTTAACTTAATTAACATCATCTAGATACAGCAGTTAGCCAATAAGGAATCCTCATCATCTTAATGGCTCGCTGGCATTGCTTCACAAATCACTCCTCCTGGCAAAGTGCCAGGCGCTATCTTGACTTGATTTGCATCCCCAACACCCTTCTTGTGCTTTCACCTGGCACTTGCAGGTCTTCTGCTCCTTGGATCCCTCATCACAGTTGGTCAGGTAGGTTCTTTGCCTGGGCATCTGGCTTGGGTCCTGGATCTTGGGTCCTGGTTCATGCTCCCCACGCACCCAATGAGACCCACCCCACCATTCCCTCCCATCGCCCTC